TCCCTACCGGCCCACACAGCCAGGAAGCCCAGTCGAGCCTCTGCCTCTGCAGCCTGGGCACGAAGACACTAATTCTCCACTTTGCGGAGCAGAAAGGTATAATAAACACACCTTTCACCAAAGAAGGTACTTCACCCAAGAGCACTGCCCTTTTCAGCCTTGTGAAGCTGCAGTCACAGGCTCAGGAAAGTAATTTCGCAGCGTTTCAAAACTCACTAGAGAAAAAAAGAAATCTGAGAAGTTTAGGTTCAGAGAGTTCCTAGTTTAATGCTTAGCACAAGTTTTACTCCTCTTGTCATTTAGGTCTTTGTCATATACAAAGCAGATACTGTATCACTGAAGTCTGAAGTTTCATTACCGGTTTCGCTCACAGCAGGCTTGAGGCCCTGGGTAATTCTCTAATAGGATTTAAATACAACTACCAGAACTAGGATATACTTTAGTTTGAAAAAAGTAATTAAATAACTTTGGTTTCACAAACTTTGTAAAAGGTATGTAGAACTGTTCGTAGGGAACACACATTTACATTAATGTCAATGGGGATCACAGGCCTGAGATAAATATTTACTTCTCTTAAATCCACTCAGAACCAAACACATTGCCTTAGAAACCTGGGGGGTGTGGGGGTCCATCTGTCACCTTTGCATAAAGGCCAAGACACCTTTAGTTGCCTAGAACTTAGTCAGCATAGGATTCTCACCCCTGAGCTTCAACAAATTGAGATATTTTTAATAAAATACCTCCAACATTTCTGCTCTTTGGAGTAGCAGCAACAGGCTGCCCACCAAACACAGCATCCAGCCCTCAGCTGCGCTTGACCGTGTTTTGCAGCATGCCAGCTCCCAGACAGGACAGCAGAACAGGTACTGACATTAAACTGGAAAAGCAACCATTTTCTTCCCTATCTGACCCCATTCTCCTTATTTCTCTGCCCTTTCCAAACAGATCCAAGCCTCTACCAAACAACGCACCCAACTTGCCAAAACCTAAAAACAGGAGGAAACAAACATTCTGACATAACCTCTTTCTTAATTTAGAGATATTGCTACCACGGCATTTTCATTCCTGGGGTACAGACAATGGCAGCAATGTCTCAGATCCTGGGGTTAGGGAATGCACACGCTAAACTAGACAAGACAGGAAGGAGCCAATGCTGAGTTTTCAGCTAATGCTGGGATAAGATAACCCCCAAATGACACCAGGCATCTGGAAGATGTCTGCAGTATGCATGGACAAACTGGTTTCAGCATTAGACAAAATTAAGTAAGAAAAAAAAAAATCTGAAGTAAAAAAAGGCTCTAGAGACAATTAGAATAGAGGCAATAGATCTTGTATTACTGAAAGAATAAAGCCAGTTCATCCCTACAGACCCATTCCAAATCGTGTTTTGCAACCATCTGTTGAAAAGGCCATCTGGCTGCAGTGAGGGCCCTGAATCAAAACATCTCACATCTTTGGGGTGCACTAAAACTGAAATTCAGTTTTTCTTCACACTGAAGATCTTTTCACAGGCTAGCTTCAGGGGTTAACTTCAGAAAGTTTCTCACGGAAATAGGAAGGCAAAAGGTCACCTATACAAGGGACTTTGAACATTTCTGCATGCATGTAATAGTTTGGGCAATTTTTGAGAGTGGATCAGATGCTAGGTAGCTCACTGAACCCAGCCCGAGGAAATAACTGCAAATCATGGTGACTGATGTCATGTGAAAGCAAGGCTTCCTTTGATGCAGAGGAAAGCATTTTTCCTGAGGGAGTAAGGGGAAAAGGACAAACACAAAATGGAAAAAAATCCTACCCCAACCACCGAAACGACATGCCAAAGTACCAGGAGACTCTGTTTGCAGGCGTCAAATGGAAACCTCCCATTTTAGCGCTTGAAATGTCTATTTGAAATTCCCAAGCAAAGCCTACAGCAATATCCAGAAGCCTCCAGACACAGCAGTGAGCCCCTGACTGGGAAGCAGTGAGAACAAGAGCCAGGCCTAAAAATGCCCGGGTGAGCTCAGCATTGCCAACGGCTCCCAGAAAGGAGACTGCACGGGAGTAAGAGTTCCCTTCAGGCAGTAACATTGGATCAAAGCCAGGCACGTGAGGATTTTTTAAATAAATCAATAAAGAGAGCCAAACAGTTGTTAGGAACTGATGAAGGCCAAGTCGAAGCAGCTACATGGAACTCGCACCACACCAAGTGCGCCCGGATGCCGCAGGGAGTAGGCGTTGCCGGACTCAGCTAAAGGCGAGCCGTGGCTCCCGATGCCCACAGAGCAGGATGCTGCTTATGCCCATGCCTTCTCCTGCTTCTGCTGATCTAAACCTGAAGACCTACTGCTCCATTTCACTTTTACACCAAGGGTGGTGAAACCCTGGCACAGGTTGCCCAGAGAGGTGGTAGACACCCCATCCCTGGAAACGTTCAAGGTCAGGTGGGACGGGGCTCTGAGCAACCTGATCCAGTTGATGTCCCTGCTCACGGCACAGGAGTTGGACTGGGTGGCCTTTAAACGTCCCTTCCAACCCGAACTGTTCTATTGTTCTATGATTTCAATGTCAAAAACAGTAAGCTGAAGAATTAAGATTTCAGTAGACAGGTCTTCAAAAGCACTTTTTAAAGACAGTAGTTAAAAAAAAAATAAGATCCATAAAGCTCTTTTGTGAGCAAGAACAGAAAAACAAAGGAATATTTTAATCAACATTTTCACACATTGAACATTTCTCAAAAATGCCAAAATTTTAAAATGAGAATCATGTCCCTGGCTGGATTTATTGCACTGGAAGTGTGGTCAAAGCCCAGTCGTCCTACGCATAGAAGCAGCCTCCACAAAAGTGAATGGAACTGTCAATATTCTAAACCAGACATTCTTTGCCCCAAAACACTATATTCAAATGCATATTTGAGTGAGAATAAAATGTGTGGTAAAGCTAAAATAATGAAACAATAGTCTTGAATGAAGATTTTTCAGGAGCTTGTTATTCTCCTTATTTGCTTTTCCTTCTGGCACACTTTAAACTGACTCACCAGGAAACTGTGCACTGAAGTCAACTCCCTCCAACCCCACCAGAAGTCAAGACCAGAAAAAAAAACGAGTTCTTCAAAATCAGGTATTTTCTGCTCTCAAGCAAACAGGTTTTTTTACAACAAATCCTTCTCAAGTTAGAGCAGATTTCACAAAGCTTTAAATTTGAGTGGGCTTCTGAACTGTCATTGCTGGTTATTATTAGTAGGCACAGAAATTCCCATTTTAATTAGAAACTTTATTTTGAAATACATTACACAGTTTACATGTGAAGTGCTTTCACTGCGAGATATTTCATAACATTGTGCTGAGCAAAACGGCTGACCGATTTCCTTCAAGCTCTTCCAGGTACGCTTTGTTTTTATTAAAACTACCTTACAGAACTAAGATGCAACTTCAGCATTTGTACTCAGAAGCTAACTACTATGTTTACCTTGGGGAGAAAGTATATACTTAACTGTTCCAATTCACTTCATGTTTCAGTAATGACGTGAAGCATTTGGCGTAAGACTGAAAGAAACCTGAGTCCTAATTAAACTTGTATTCACCAAAGATTAAAAAAAATAATAATCTTCATGATCAAACTACTTTTTTAATAAGGCACAGACAAGTATTTATAAAGACTGGCTACCAATTCAGTTTTACCTGCACAGCCTTCCTGCTGGTCTGTCAAAAGTAATCTCAAAGTTGTTTTCCCTGTCTGCTCCTGAGACTTTTCAAGAACAAGGCAGAGCAACAAGGCAACTAAAAGAACGGACATGCAAAGGAGTCTGGCATTTGGGATGGATTCTGAACATCTGCAAAGTAGTTCATTTTCTAAATGGAGCATTCATCTATTATTAAAATGGTGGCAACTATGATAAGGAAAATAGAAGGGGTGCAAGCAGTGTCTGTTTGCAAAAGGGTATTTTAATAGGAATAAACAAGATGTCTGGTATGCTTTCAGGCGAAGACTTTGCATGCAGCAATGCCTACAACTTTAAAAGATTATCTAAACTGAATTCTGAAATTCCCCCTCTGCCACTCAGAAAAGCTGAATGTACCAAGAGGCTGCTCGACAGCAGGTGAAATATCAGGGAATGAAATCTCCGTTTAGATAATGAGCCAGTACTGCCATCCTACTTTGCATTTCTTATTAGAACGAAAGGAAGTCTTCAGTAATGATAACTCAAACAATTATTTTGGCTGGAAGAAAGTTCAAGAATCTTAAGATGTGATGATGTTTAAAGAACATGAAACAATTCTACCCACAGTCAAAGAATAAAAAACAAAAAAAAAAAAAAAAAAAAAAAAAAAAAAAAAAAAAAAAAAAAAAAAGAGAGAAGCCTTACCTTCTCCTCCCAATTAAAATCTTTGAGGAATAATTGCTTGAGCTTAGCACTGTATGGCTTCTGTGGCCTATGAATGCTTGATAGATAGTCGAAGAATTATCATTTTCAAGCTACTGTTTTCAATTTTAAGTCATTTCAAATAAAAATACTGCATCTATTTCACTTTAATAATCAAACAGCATAAAAATCATTAAAAGTGTATTTCTGATACAAATTTATATCACATACTAAAAGATACTATTTTATAGATAATTGTAAACAAAAAGTATTAGAATATACAAAAGGTTTTTAAAATTCTTTTGCACAGCTGAACTCATAGTGCAGGTTTAAGATAAAAAAAAAATCTGTAAATGAAGTAGTCATAACAAATGTTGAATATAAAATACATTCCAAAGTATTTTACAGAATGGCTGAATTATCAAGCATAAGAACTGAGGATAAAGGATGTTAATGACAAGCAGCCACATACAGAACACAAAGCAATAAGTTTAAATCAGACTATTTTGGTTTGTGTAGCCCTTTATTAGCAACTAAAATAGAATATATCTGTTGTACATCACGGGTAGTAACTGACTATACTGGAATTTTATTATATTCTAATACAGGATCATTTATAAATGCGTTGTTTTCCTTTTCTTCTTTTATTAAAAAGTTTCCACCCCTTTTTCCACTTACAACTTGCAAAACTATTCTGAAAGCTGAGTACATGTGCACAGGTCTGCGAAGAGTGCAAATTTAGGATACGGTAAATGCTTTACATGTTATATTTGTAAGGACTAACTCAAATAAAATAAAAAAAAATAAAAAAAAAAAAAAAAAAAAAAAAAAAAATCACAAAATGTTTTGATACCAGCCTTCCTTCCATTGTCCTAAACAAGAAAGCATTTAAATGAGTTGAAACTAAGGAAGGACTACACCTACTAGAAAAGAAGAGAGTTCTATTAGTTTGAGGTTTCAGTATACCCAAAGACCAGGGACTGTATCTTTGTAAGGGCTAGGCTGGGACCCCGTATACAGAGTGTGTGCAGGTGCCATCCCTGAGCATTCCGCGGTTCAGTGGACCATAAGCGCTCCAGCTGCATAACTCACTGAGCTGTCTTGCCAGTTTCGACACTGACTTGACTGAGCATAATTCAAAAATGAAAAGCTCATATTCATTCCATTCTTCTGGAGCTCATTGATGGCCTGAAAAGAGGAAAAAAAGCAGTTTAGAAACAGGTATCTATGAAATTATGACATTTTCTAGATCTCAGTCCTCTCCCCCCAGGGGTCCTTGCACCATGTCTGATAATAATAGAAGCACCTCCTAGTGACTTGTGGACCTAACTGATTTCTGTACCGTTTCATTCACTGACGCTCCCCCCACTGCACTACGCCCATCCGTGCAGTTCTATAAAGCAATAGTAAAAAACCTTTCAAAGCAGATCCCTTAGAAACAATGCTTTCAGTTCCACAGGGAAGCTACACAGAAACACAGATGTAACAGAAAAAAATACATCTTTGTTAACACTTTTTAGATCGTATTTCTTCCATTAAGGAAAAAGAATGTACCAAGATAATTTATTGAAGTGTGACAACTGGCAAAAGTGAGTGAACAGAATTTAGCTCAGATTCACTGCAAAACTTATTGTTATATGAGGTTAAGAGTTGGATATTTTTGCAGAGTTGTCACAGTACTGAATTTTGCTACATGCATCCCCAATACTGATACTGCTTATATGAACTTTTATAGACTTCACTTTAAAAGGTTCAATATAGACTACATTTCCAGTGAATTAAGTTTCCCCCTTTATAAATGTTAATATGATTCCTGTTTCAGATTTGAATCACAGTAAAAATATAGTGAGATTCACTCAAGCAATAGGACAAATCTGCAGCACTCCAGCAGTGCTGTAAAGCAGCTGCGACTCAATTTAGACAACTAAGTTAAGCCAGGTTTACGTCTGCACTGCATCACCAAAGCAGAATACGGTAACCAGAAAGTACCAGTTAATTTGAAATCTAATTGCCATTAATTTATGGGTTAACGGTGCACTGCACTAATATTTAGAGGCAATCCCTCATCATATTTGCAAATCTCAAAAATGCTACCAGACATCACAAGGCACTTACAATAGCTAGCTAATAGCAACACAGAAAAAAAGTACACGTTTGTAAGTACTGATTCAAAAAAGTACATACTTCTTCAGGGAAGAAGTACTTCTCTTGGCCCTACTACTTTAGGGCCAAGAGAAAGTGAATGATTGCATTTCGTTGAAATTCAAAGGAACATGGTAACTTCAGGGAATGGAAAACCCTCAGCCCTTGTAAGAGCTTACATTTGTCTATATGCAAGACATGGAAATTGGAAACCAGATTGAGAACACTTGGAAAAATAAATTAATTCAAGACTTGCCATTTTAGAACTAAGGAATACTCCAGCAATATTGTGTTTAGAACAAACATAAGCATTTTGCTAAAAGTTACATTTTTCAACAAATCAAAAGTTACTTACGTTTAATAATACGCCAATAGGATGTCTTCCACATATTGTATTATGGTATTTCTTCAAGTAATTGCTAAAAGATACAGGATCTAGCTGCTCTATAATGCTCATACCCTGAAAAAGAATCGATAGCAATGATTACTTCACACATTCATAAGCAGGTGTTTATACATCACCTATTTATGACAACACAGAATACTTCAGGAGGGAAAAACCCTCTACTTTGTATCAAGGGAATCTCAGCATGTGAGCTCTAGCTTGCAGTCATCTTGTTGCCACCCTTTGCTAAACTCAAAGTGCAGGAGCTCTTCGAAAGCTGTCAATGATCCACAGATCTGTGAAGCTACCTTTGCAGATACCAGTGAAGCTCACGTTAAAAATGCTCCTCCCACAGACTAGCTGACCCCCATCTCCAGGGGTGCCCTGCTTCCACAGGATTTTGCACAGCAATAACCAGACAAATTTACTACAAGGACAAAGCAGGAAGAAGTCTTGCCTCCATCTCCTCTCCCTGGTAACAAAGCTCAAGGCTGAGCACTTGCCTGGGACTTCTGGATGTCCAAAAACCCCTAGACAGATCATCAGTAGACACACATGCAATTCAAGCAGTAGCAAGTGTAATGTATCCTAGACACACCAGGCATGCAAGGCAGCTGATCTGGGCACAGGTTGGCCATCTGCTTAGAGCATAAAAAGCAGATCCAGGACATCTCTAAAGCACTAGAAAGTTGGTGCACGACAGAAACATAAGATCCAGGAGATTATGCTTCCACTTTACGCAAGGCAGTCACATATACAGACCCTTTTCTCCAGCCACAGTGAAACCCATGATTCCATGGAGCCATACTACGAAAACCAGCACATGTATGGAAAACAAAACCTTCCACATATACAAACATTTGCATTCTTAAAAGCAAAAAGAATCCTACAACTCTAGATACAGCCTACTCTTACCCCATCCCACAGAGGCAGATCAAATACAACAAAAGTAGTTTAAAGTAAGCCTAAATCAGTTACTGTCTGGGTTTTATCATGGCTTTGCTATTTTTCCTGTATTAGACTCCATTCTCTTGTGCTCATCCTTCCTCTGAAAATGATTAATTCCCTTCACCAGGTAAATGAGCTCCAGACAGTCACTAATTCAGTAAGACACATAGCTGTGCTTCTTACACATAGCTGATGAAACATGAAGGTTCTCCTTAGAGACTAGGAAAAAAACATATACTTGGCATGGGAACAATGGGAGGTTGGTATCAGAAAGGGAGAGAATTTCTCCCAAGGTTTCTGTGATTGTCCCAGCCCCTTCCCCTGCTTTTGGGAAAGCGTGGGTGATAAAAGGAGAGAAATCACGATGCAGGAAGCAGTCTGTCTGAAGTCTCCACCTCCAGAGCGAAACCTCCTGAATACTCTGCAAGGGTGTTGGCTGATCTGGCAGATCTGCTAATTATTCAGACTGGAGCACAGCTTACAATGCAGGAGCTGGAGATTCCCAGGAGAGTCAGGGAGGATTAGGAAACAGCAACCATAACCATCACCTTTGTGTACTTTTAATTAAAAACAGACATAAGATGAATTCATAGAGAGATAAATTTTACGGAAAAATAAAACCAAACTATGCTGACCAATTGCTGGCAAGAACTCAGTTCTTCCAGGGTCATGGAGAGGGTGTTTGGACCCCTGGCTGGTAATTACAGCTATTACTCACTCCAGATCTACAGAACCTAAACGAGTGCCAAAAAAATAAAAGTAGCTATTCTCTAACTAGCAGTGATTACACAGATATCATTGCATTTCTAAAGTTTAAGCAGCATGTCTTCAAACCACCCATTTACTTGTAAATTGTACATCTCAGTACACAGCTAATGAAAGCAGAACCAAACTTAACTGTAGGCTCAGGTGAAGCTAAACATGCATAAGGCACTTATTCAGATACTGAACAGCTCATAAGAATGTATTTTATCCATTTGTAAACTCTTTCACGGCTTTTAAAGGAATGAAAATGGCTGCTCAAATGAGAGGCTCATTTTATAGCTGTAAGTCACTGGAACATACTGGGCAGAGGCATTTGAGCATTTGTCTCGAATGGACATGGATTTATCAGAATGCCTAGTAAGCTTATTTCAATGCACAGTTCAGCACTGCAAAACATTTAGAGCTATGCAGTTCATCCCAGCAAATGCTAACAGAGCTCCATACATCACAGATTGGAGAAAATCCATAGGAAACATGTATTAACACATATCCTATGAGCAGTCAGCTGTACTAAACTTTTCAGTCTTTTGGATTTAAAAATCATTGTGGCAGAGGAGAAAAGAATACCAAGCTTGTTTCTCAGTCTACAATGATGCTGAGGAACAAAGGAAACATTTTTGTCAGGTTGTGTTTTACTTTTCTAAAAAGCAGAAGTATGAAGCTCATCATTTCCAGTATTCAAAATAACTCATCTGGGCATGGTTTAGAATGGAGTTAAAATATATGACAAAAACCAGATGATAAAAAAGCAAACCATCACACAGTTCTGCCGTTTATCACATGGTTATTATGGCACCACAAAGAAATTGCATATCTCAGTTAACCAGACACTGTTAATGGCATCTAAGATATCCTAGCACAGTGCATTTAATACAATTAAAAACAGTTACGTTCTTAAATATCATCCCCTATAGGACCAAGTATCTACAAGCTTACAAAAAAACCAAACCAACCAACAGGCTTATTTTATACTATACCCCAATAATCCTTTGACTGGTCAAGGCTAAGACTGCAATCAGTTACTTCAGCTGCTTCTTCAAACTTTAAAATAAAAGATATAAACTAGTGGCACACTTACAGAAGCAGAAACAAACTTGGTCTTAGCACTAGCCAGTCCAACTGTCTTTGCATGGGTGAGTCCCTCAGACTAGAAGACAACCAACCAACAGCAAAACCCCTGCTGTGTCCTGTGTGCTGGGCACAGCAGAGAGAGCGGGGAGCTGGGCACCCAGGCAGAGCGCCCTGGTCCCGCGTTATGCCCCAGCTGAGAAGCCCTCCCAGGCTGGAGCACCGTGGAAGGCACTGGCACGCCACGGCGGCACTGCGGAGGCCACCAGAATTCATCTCATTAAAGCCACCGAGAAGCCACTCGCGCCACACACGGCTCCTGCACAACAACTGCACAGCTCTCCTCAGTGCCTGTGTTATCCCCCCCGCTCAGCAGAATCCTCCTGTTGACTCAAGCGAGGGGTAAGGTTTCACAAACAGATACAAAATGAGCAATCCTGCAGTGAAGATTGAAGCAAGCAGCCTGCATTTTCTGGCTGGCCATAATTAAAAAATAATTACTCTTCAATGATGTCTTACAGAATACTCTCCCACTTTTATTTAAACGGATGGTAGGCACCAGGTTATGATATACAAATTACTGCACATCAGCGGCTCAGTTGTAACTCCTGATTTGAGGATTCACCCCTAAGGTACCCCTGTTAATCACAGGGCTGCTGACTCCTTCCACTTCACAAGGCGTACTGTGGTACCCCCAGGGTAACAGAGCGGTCACACCAAGAGTTACCACGGAGAAAGCAATGTCTGCCCAGCAATATTCACTACTCTGTGTTTTTTTTATGCTGGAGTCTAACTTAAAATCACAGTAAATAAAAGTTCTCACAGCGGTTACCAGGTTAGCAAGTCTTCAGTGCCCAAAGCCTTGGATGTTGTTTAGGACAGGAAAATCATCATGCATCTGAACTTAAGGTCCAGTCTAAATTGAAGAGACCATTGTCCTCCCACAAGGGTATTTCTAAGGCAAATTAACTTCATCTTAACCCAGAACATCTTCCTGCTTACAAACGCTCAGCCGACTGCTATGCTAGTTAGGTCCAATAAAATAACCTCTGCTAATAGTGGCCCAGTAAACACCTCAGAGGGTTTTAGTACAGTTTTGTCTCTATCTTAATGCTGTTTTCTCTGTGGAGAGGCCTAGTGGTTTCAAAAATGCAAGTTTCTTTAGCATGCCAAATGACACCAAAAAATTCAATACTTATCTAAGCAAACAAGAAGTAGCTGAGCAGGGCATACAAAATCAAATAAACTCCTTCCAAAAGCTGAAGAAACATGACAGGGAGATCTTTGTGGCATTGTGGATAGTGTCCCAAGCGTACCCACAATAGTGCTAAAAAGAAATTTCTGAAATTCACCAAAAGCAAAACCTACTCTGTACAGAGTTTGAATATGGAGTCTTATGTTCACATATGGCATGATATGAACAGACAGAAAATAGCCACGGCATACTGCTATGCAGCATGTTTAGTTTACCAGTTAAACTTAAGATTGAAAAAGTTTTTTCATAATGATTAAACAGTAGACATAATTTTCAGTGTGGCAGAAAACGTCATTTCATTTTGGCTGAATGACTACCAAAAGAAAGAGTCGGTGCAGCAACGTATTCACTAGAAGTAATGAAATGCCAAAGTCCAGTCTTTCCACAAGCTTTCACCGCAGAAATTAACACGGGAAAACCAACATTTGCTAATGCACCTCAATCTGCTCTCCTGCAAAAACACTCAGAGCTGCAAATTCTGGGATTCTGCAGAAAAACACTTGTCTTTACAGAGAAACCTCTCAAGTGACAACAAGAATTATTAAAAATGGGATAAACAGAATGAAGGCAAATTATTTACTGCTTCCATTCCAGCGATGAATAGTGGAAAAACAAAGAGGTTAATATGGATACACAAAGCAAAAAACTCCTGAGATCTCTCCAGCAGATAGGATTTATTCCTTCAAGACAAAGAAGAAAATTAACATGCCCTGAATAACAACAGTTGTCTCTTCTAACAGATTTTACAGAAGTTACATAAATGATTCAAATAGTTTTAAAACAAATTTTAAGGTTATGTATTTCCAGAAGAACTACTTCTCTTCTGTGCCCTAAGTATAGCCTTGAACGTTAACACAATTTTCTTGTTTAAAAAGAAATCCTTGGCTCCTGTGACTGCAAAGAGAATGCAACATAATTGGCATCACGATATTTAGGTATTTAGCATTCCTTTCAGCCATTTGCCAAACCCAGAATGAAGTATGGTCTACTGCTTTTCCCTGCCACCTACTACAAAGTAAGGGGCCGGAGGAAGACTACTCTCAAGACAACAGTGACTTCTGATTTCCTGACCAGCACAATCCCTTACAGTCTTTCCTCCTCAAAATGGATGTTGATGAAACTATTACATCATCAAAACACTGTTTCAATATGCAGGTATCATAGCTATCAAGCCTGAACTACCACAATACTCAATCCATAATTCCTACTGTTTCTCAAAAACATAAGAGGGTATGTGGATAGGAATTACATTAGAGGATTTTAGGTAGGCGAACATGCATTTATTCTCATAAATTATGCTTACTAGATTATACCTGCAATATGTCGTGCGTAGCCAGTAAAATGGAGGATATTAGCTAAAAACAACAGCTAAAATCTTATTGTGGTGAATAAAGGAAAGTATACATTCAATAAAATAGCTGATCTGTAATATTTTGTTAGAGAAATTTCTAAAGTGTTCAAAGAAATATAATGTACCGGAGAAATTTGTTAGTTAGTTCCACCAAATCTGAAAACTTACCATTTTATCTAGGTGCTCAATGGATCTATAAATTTCTCCTTGGGATTCATCATAGTAACTGTAACGGAACCTCTGACCTTGAAACAAAAATCATGTATAAAATAAAAAAGGGAAAAATTGTAGCTAAAACACTCCCTAGTACTTACTAAATAATTGAAATTATAATATTTGTAAAGTAGTAATCTTCATTTATTTTATACCTTTTAGCTCCACTGAGGAAATTCTAGGGCAATCATCAAAGTAGCAGCCCAGAAGCGAAGTAAAGAATACATGACGGGCAGCTATATCCTAAAGAAAAACTTACTATGTAGAACTGACACTGCAGTATCACTTACTGGTTGCCTGTTACTGCCTTGGAATCCAATTCTATAAACTAAAAAGTAAAACAACATTTCATTTCACTACCCCTCTTGATAAGTCAACCCTGGCGTCAGGCTACTTCCGCTTGCACAACAATACCCACAGTAAATGAAGGTTAAAAGAAAAAGTTCATGATAATCCAATGAACATTTCCAGATGGTTCATTAGCCACAACAGAACCCAGGTCATTCTCATATACCTCCACCTATTCCACAAGTCAAAGATGAGTAAAACATGCACTTAATTATGTAAGTTGACCAAATATGACAATGAAAAAAAGGAAGAAGGTCTGTTGTGTAACATAAAACATCTTTCTGAAGCAGTCCCTTTTCCAGCTGTTATCACACTTCAAAATAAAGTGTTAAAGCAGGACAGAAGTTGAGGCTTCTGGAGTTTTTATGGCTCTGCCACCAGGATGAACTGGGATAGCTCTGGTGAATTGGCATAAATACTCCATCTGCTATCTTAACCAGCACTAAAACATACAAAACTTATTTCCATCAGAAGGATGTTGCCATATCCAGTGAATTTATAGCTAATTAGTTTTGCAAGTTGGTTTGAGGTGCTTAAAAGAAGAGTAAAAAGAGCAAGAAACTTCAGACATGTATATTTCGTTGCAACAGTAGAGAGATGCATATAAACCCATACACCTTCACCATTTATTTCCTCCACTACACTGAAAACACATTACCATATTCATATTTTTCATCTACTGTTCCAGATTAAAAAAAGAAAAATCCTTTTTTAGCTTTACAAAGGCATTTAAGTTTCAAACACACATTTACCAGAAGTTAAAGTGTCCAATGTTTAATAAAATCCATCATTTGAAAATCACAACAAAATACACATCATACTGTTCTAAGGAAGAGATGTGAAACTTACCCCAATGGCAAAAGTCAGAAGAAACCACAAAGAGGTTACTAGGATCAGCTAGGTATTTACTGAAGAGTTTTCCAAATTCCTGCTCTTTTGACTCACTCAGTGCTCCGACCAACACAGGAATAATAGTAAACTCATCCTTATGGCTTATAAGCAAAAGAAAAGAGGCTGTAATTCAAGTAACATCCGAAGTTTTTTCAGGGCTTGCTAACTGCAATCGCAGAACGTTTTTAAAGGGCACTATTGAACCAAAGATACAATTAATTTGGCAAGGTCATACTAGGAAGATGTTCTAGAACCTGAAACGACTTCCATTTCAGAAAACTCCCTCCCCCCAAACCAGTATTCAGCTTTGCTGCAAAGTGAAAACACCAGGCAAACAAAAAGAGAAGACACAATGAAACTAGCAATGAAGTAGGAATGAAATTCTCCCTGGACAGATGATGCACAAATGTTGGGTAATTTTCCACATATATGAAAATGCTCGGGATAGCACCCAGATGCATATTGATACTCCAGGGAAAATTATAAACACTATGGAATAAAAGTTTAAAAAAAAAGGCAAGTGGGGGAATCACCACAAATTGATAAAAATTATCACCTTTGAATAAAAAATTATTCAAAGTACTCATCTGAAATAGCAGGTGAAAACAGAACCCTGATTTCAAAATCAGTATTAGGGCTCCAAACAAACTTAAAATCCCACTGAAAACACCCATTAGTATTTGAACTTTTTTCAGAGATGCCTCGCAAAAAAGGAAAAAAAAAACCCACAACGTCCATTGAGAAAGATTCACAAAAGCATGTCTAATATTAACTCTATTAAGTCAATATAAACATATAAACTTGTTTATAAGGGTGTTCCAATTTCATCATTCGGATCTTTGCTCTGCTCACAGTTTCTGTTACAGAACTAATCCTACTCTCTGATCCTCTTCTCCGGAAAATTTTTACTGGTGGAATGTGGGTATTATACATCATATAGGGTATTATATACCTTAAAGGGTATCATTACTTCCTACTGTACTTCGCATGTAGTTCAAACATTTCATGATCATAACGCTCATTCTTGTAGAAGAAATAATTAGCCCTAGTACCTTTCCATGGCTTTAGCAGTATAAGGCAAATGCATTTCAATACTGTGTTCATCTTCATCTGTCTGTAGGGACATACGCTCAAACATTCCAGTCTTCCACAATTCTCCATAAACTGAAACAAATTAAAGATTTATTTTTAGTGGTTTTTTTTTTTTCAAAACACCATTAAGTAAGCTACAGTGCATCTTTATCAGAACAAGCCCACTATAAAAGATTACTTGCCTCCAGGGGCTCTCATCATAAACCACTTGTTTTTAAATAAATGCAGGATTAAAATTAAGTTCAAGTCATTAAGATACAAATGTAACTGATTCAGCTTATAAAATAAGTGTGTTAAAATCTGTGACCTTGTTAGTATATTGTGAAAGATTTTCAGTTATAATAGAAAATTAAAGTAAGACAAATAAAACACATTTGAAAATATGCATGCATTTGCCCAGTCACTGAATTCTTATTTTCACAAACTACACCATCATATGTTTTAAAAAAAAAAATATTGCTGATCAGCTGAGCTATTGCTGGATGTGCTACTATTTAATACAATTTATTATTAACTGAATCATTAAATCTAGAGATAGTGAAAATTGATTTAGTAATCCAGATTTACAAGTTATCTTTTCTACTCTCAAGCACACTTGGTGGTATGCAGAGTCATCTCTGCAGTTTGAAAATTCTCCACTGGATGAAGAATTTGATGTAGGGCTGTGCCTCCCTCTCCACTCCATAAAGGAGTTCTACAGAAACCCAAACAGTTGTTACCTAAGGAAATTTATGCAGGCACGACAGAGATAAGCCTGAACTAGCTTGCTCAGTCACAGTCCTGACGAAATAGGAATACATCTGCACTAATCAGCCCTACTGAAAAAGATATTGTATTATTTAGGTATACCTCAAAACACATGAAAGTCAAAGTATCAAATTTATTTCCATCACACCTTTAAGCTTAGTCTGAAAGACTGGTATTTATTTCACAGACTAACAGTTTTTAAGTTCTACAGGTACTCTGCCAGTTAATAAAAAAGTCACATGCAATAATGCATCCAAATAAAAGCAGCTTTTTGTTCCACTATTATTCATCTATTAGAAATAAATTCAAACCCACTAAAGCACTATCTTTTTTTTGCACACAGAATACTTCACAGAATAACAGAGCAGGTGTGTAGTGCACTATTATTCAAATGTAACACTTTTTGATTTTGAGATAGCTTTTAAAGATCGCTTGTCAAGAGGCACACAGTCATAATGGAAAAAGGTAAGCAAAGATTGAGAATTCTTTACTTGCAGGAGCAAGAGAGACAGTCAGGTTATAATATAGCAATGCCTGCAACCATCAGGATCTTTCAGAAGTCAGCTTTCATTGCAGTAAAAACAGATTTATACTTGTACGCCACTTGAAAGCAATGAAGTACCCAACAAGAGAGACCTCAGCGGTGCGGGACCACAGTTACTACTCAAGCCTCAGCAACCTTCAAGATATAAGCTTTATCACGCACTTACTCTTTTGGTCAATTCGAAGATCATACAGAGGTGTTCTATAAATGTCCACACTGGAAAGTGCACATCGGGAAAGGGGCACGTGATGGGAAGGCCCAAGAATGAAAATTTTTCGGCTACAACGATTAACACAAAAGCCCACAATTTAGCAACCGCAATTGTACAAGAGACCTGGTTTAGAGTAACAAGTTTAATTAAAAAAACTACAAAGTGATACTGCCTGGTGGTTACCAATAGGGTTTTACTCTGCTGTGTGTAAGACCACAGATCAATCCATAGCCTAGCCTTGCTCGGTGTCTCAGAAACGATCATGAGATCTGCCCAAAAATGCTTCCCCCAGGCTTCAACCTATCTATGTATCAGAGGGCACTCGTCAGCTAGAATCTGACTGGACTCATCTGGAGGCTGAATGATGTGTTACAGCCCTTAAGACAGATTTTTTGGATTCTCTCCTTGGACCAACACAACCTTCAGCTACACACCACCTTCAACAACTACAGGTATGTGCCGTCAAAAGTGGATTACAGATTTATCATCTATTCAGAGCTTTTCACTTATTTACTTCATTAGCCTTACTTCAGATTTCACCAAACTCAAAGTCATTCTCAAATGCTGTTTTTATCCAGCTGTTGCATCAGCAACAGGGACTTGGACCTGCACATTTGTAGCTTTAGCTGATACTGCAAATTTTCACACATCATCATGATGTTATCTCATCAAGTCCTCAGTTCCTGGCTCTTGATTAGATGTGAAAGGTCTCCTGCCACAGGACTTCAAGGAAAACAAAACCACCACCACCTACAGAAAATTCAGCTTTTCAGATTCAGGATCATATCATCTTGTTTCTGGCACTGAATTAAAGGGGTGGGAGATGTAAAGATTTTAAATTTTGTTTCCCTTACATATGGAGTGCTACTGCAAGCTATACTAAAATACTAAAACTTTTTACAGGGCTCATAAAAACAAAAATATCCAAACGTGTCATATTTCAATTGAAAGATAAATTCTACACATCCAATGCGGTAAATAGCAAATGATCCAGAAAGTTCAATCAGCTCCATGTCACTGAACCTGGGGAATGCAACTTGTTCCAGAAATTTTAGAGAAACTAGCTATCTGTCACACCGTAAGTTTTCTTCACTTTGTTTACAATAGTTCCGAAAGAATGAAAAGCATTGTCTTTGGAGAGCATTACAACATGTTATTCTCATAAGCAACTGACAGACGTAGCCAGTTTTTATACTAACACTGCAAAACGCATACTTTGAGTAAATACCGGAGAAGTTTTAAATTTTTGTCATTTTAAAAAAATGTTGCGGTCAGCAGAGCACATAATAGTTATATTCCTTTAACCTAAGATAACTAGATTCACATTTTCAGAGACAGGCACAGACTACAGTAGCGTGTTGGGTTTTTTTTTTTCTTAATTGTTATATTTTTCAACTGTTGTACCGTTAGAAACACAAGTCCATTTCAAATTATTACAACAAGTAATTTTCACTGACTTCAAATATTATATACATGCACTGGTCACTATCTCCACAGCAGAAGAGAATCCTAGTAGCATTCAGCCCATAATCCTACACTGAAAAAACAATGCAGAATTATGATCAAATGTTTTAATATACTTAAAAACCAAACAAAACCTCCCAACAAAAACAAAACAAAAAAAGACAGACAGACACCCTGTCACCACTAAGAAAAACCCAGCTTGGGTTTTTATAAAAGCAGTGGAACATCAAGCAATTAAGTAAATTAAATGTTATTACCCGCAAAAAGAACACCTTTAACCCCCTCTCTGAAAGCTAGTTACCAGTAATTCTCAGTAATTTTTGAAAATACTGCTTTACATTTTCAATTTCAACAATATCACATTGATTTTTTCTTTTGTAACATCTAAACAATTTGAACATTTATGATGTTAAAACAGAAGGGATACATAGACTAAAAAGAATACAAAATTAATATTTGAGTAGTTCAAGGTGTAAGAATGTAAAAAGAACATTCAGCTGCTTAGAGAATTGCAATGGCATTGTCTTGCACTTTGTAAAGAAAAGCTTTAATACTTACGTAATATTAGGATCCACCTGTTTGTAAGCATGGGCTGCACAAGATCCACAATAGGTATATCCTGCATGGCTGCAAATCAAGGTGTACAATGTGTTAACTCATTAAATATTTTTTAACATCTTAAATACATTGATATTGCTATTAAATGTTAATAACTTAAATATTATTTGTCCCCAATGAGCCAGAAATAGTAAGAGTGATCCAAATGTCAACTCCTGAAAGAGCTGAAGAGCACTGTTCCAGTACTGAACGTATGAGATATATATTTGTTAAAAAACTATCAGTGACCATTATTTGAAAGTTAATAAGCCTCCACATCAAAGCACCTTTCGTTACTTCTAAAAGATACTAGTAGGCAGACTTACACAACTGTGTATCATCAGAAGTTCATAATAATGTTACGAGTGCAGCCAGGGAACACGGGAATAGCAAGCAGTGGAGAACGCTCTTCTAACCACCCTCCAGTAACGGAATATAATGACAGTAGAGGGGTCTGGCAAAGAGCGACCACATATTGCAGCAGATAAACAGAGAATAAAAAAGCTCTGTCACTGGAGAAGAATACCTCAGCAACAGAATGAATAGGCACAAGGAAAGGAGCGGAATGCAGCACGGTAGCTGTTACCACAGAGAAAGCAATACATGTTTTGTCATTCCCTGTCACTCTGACCTGGAGCCTTTCTCGACCTGTGTTCCAGGTGTGCTCCAAAAACATTCATAACCATTCTGACTACTTGTGTCAAATATCACATCCAAATCTTAAGACCCATTTATTCCCTTGCAGGCTGTTAAAAACAGGAGAAGATTCAGTTTACACAGCTAAAAGCATGAATTCCAGAAAACGTTCGTTCCCCAGGGGCCCCGGCCAAGCAGTGGGGAGCAGCTGATGGGCACTCAGCAGCATGTCCACAGCAGAAGGCCATGCCCCCACTGCACAGCGCTTGGGCCACATCGCCTCTGGAGCTCATCTGCAGCGCCTGCAACCCTAGGTCCATAGTTACCATTTATTTTGAGTCAAGTATGTGCAATAACACAACTACAGCTTTCCAGATGGTCTCTTCATACAATCATAGAATCATAGAAAGTTTTGGGTTGGAAGGGACCCCTAGAGGTCATCTAGTCCAACCCCCCCGCAGCGAGCAGGGACACC